AGGAGGTATACTGATATACGATTAAACTCTATTCAGCAATAAAAAAAGAATCAACTACTAATACATGCTACAACATAGATGAGTCTCAAAAACATTCTGTTAAGAAAAAGAAGGCAGATGCAAAAGACCACATATTTTATGATTCCATTTCTATAAAAGGTCTAGAATATACAAATCTATAGATTTAAGCACTAGAACAGATTGCCCAGGGGCTGAAGGTGAAAGTAAGAATTTACTATAAATGAGCATGAGTGATCTTTTGGGAGTGATGGAAATTTCTAAAATTAGATACTGGTAAAGACTGCATAATTCTGTAACTTTAACAAAAATCAAGAAATTGTACATTTAGAGCAGGTGAATTTTATGTGTAAAATGGCAAATTAAAGTGTTAAAAAGTGTCTATAGGCTGGCACAGAGAAGAATGAAAGGAATATATTAATAAAAAATTCCTGCCTCTATCTAAATGGTAAGTATCCTGTATTTATATTTAAGAAATATAAATTCCCCAAATGTCTGCTGCTGTGACGATCATCATGGTGGCCAGAGAATGGAAAAGGAATGCATCTAAAACAAGGAATGGGAAAGCCCAAACAGCATCCTAGAAGGTGAGAACTGAAAGGAATGTTCAGTAATAGTGGCTAACTCAAAATGGCAGAAGAGTGTTTTAGAGAGGAGCAATAGTTGAAAATAGGCCTTCACTGAATTAAGAAGACGATCAATGACTTAAGCAAGCCATTTTTGCCAGGCTCCAGAAAACTCTCCATGAGTCAGTGATATGAATAATGCTGAAAACAGGAAGACTAATTTAAAGTCTGTTTAGTGGGCTGAATGGTGGCCCTCCAAAAGATAAGTCTTTGTCCTAATCCCTGGAACCTATCAATGTGACCTTATTTGGAAAAAGGTCTCTGGAGGTATAATTAGGATGCTGAGATGAGAAGAGATCATCCTGTATTATCTGAGTGGCCCTAAATCCAATGCCAACCATCCTCTTAAGAGAAGAGAAAATACAGACAGAGAAGGAAATGTAAAGATGGAAGAAGAGATTGGGCCGGGCGCGGTGGCTCAAGCCTGTAATCCCAGCACTTTGGGAGGCCGAGGTGGGTGGATCACGAGGTCAAGAGATCGAGACCATCCTGGTCCACATGGTGAAACCTCGTCTCTACTAAAAATACAAAAAAATTAGCTGGGCATGGTGGCACATGCCTGTAATCCCAGCTACTCAGGAGGCTGAGGCAGGAGAATTGCCTGAACCCAGGAGGCGGAGGTTGCGGTGAGCCGAGATCACGCCATTGCACTCCAGCCTGGGTAACAAGAGCAAAATTCCGTCTCAAAAAAAAAAAAAGAAAAAAGAGATTGGAGTAATGCAATCAAAAACCACTAATTACCTAGAGCCACCAGAACTGGAAAAGGCAAGGATGGATTCTTCCTTATAGTCTTTAGAGGGAACACACTGCCCTGCTGATACCCTGATTTCAGACTTGTTTCCAGAGCTGTGAGAGAATAAATTTGTTTTAATTCATCAATTTTGTGGTCATTAAAAATGGCAGCCCTGGGAAACTAATACAGTGTATAGAGAATATTTGGCTGGGCGTGGTGGCTCACACCTGTAATCCCACTTTGGGAGGCTGAGGTGGATGGATCACAAGGTCAGGAGTTCAAGACCAGTCTAACCAAGATGGTCAAACCCTGTCTTAAAAAAAAAAAAGAAGAAGAAGAAGAATATAGGATGACCAGATGTTCTCCGAGAGAAGAATTACCAAGGAAAAGTTAGAACCAAAGTTAGTTTACCCAATATGTTTAATCAGATACAGATTATATTTATTATTATCATTTGAAATGGAGTCTTACTATGTCGCCCACGCTGGAGTGCAGTGGCACAATCGCAGCTCACTGCAACCTCTACCTCCCAGGTTCAAGCAATTCTCCTGACTCAGCCTCCTGAGTAGCTGGGACCACAGGAATGTGCCACCAAGCCCGGCTAACTTTTTTTTGTGTGTGTGGTTTTAGTAGAGACAGTGTTTCACCATGTTTGCCAGGGTGATCTCAAACTCCTGACATCAGGTGATCCACCTGCCTTGGCCTCCCAAAGTGCTGGGATTACAGGTGGGAGCCACCATGCCTGGCCCCAAATATAGATTTAATCCAAATTTATGCTATAATCATTTTGGGAGGATGGTGTTATGTGTGTTTGTGTGTGTAGGAAAGGGTATAACAAAGCTAACATTTTTTTTTCTTTCTCTCTAGTCCCAAGACTGGAGCTAAAGCTAAATATTAATGTTCTTTAACAGGAAGTCAGTCAATAAAGTAAAATAAATGAAAAACTCATAAAAGGCAACAGAAAAATGTTATTTGGAAATCTGCAGGTAAATAAATACCAAGAAACAATAGTTTAAAAGTTGTGCTTGCCCCCTGGGAACTGATCTCAGATTAAGGGTTAGAATAAGTCACTCTAAGCCATGGAGCAGTATTCCAACCTAAATTTAATATTTATTTATTTATTTTTCTTTCTCTCTCTCTTTTTTTTTTTTTTTTTTGAGATGGAGTTTTGCTCCTATGGCCCAGGCTGGATTGTAATGATGCAATCTCAGCTCACTGCAACCTCTGCCTCCTGGGTTCAAGCAATCCTCCTGCCTTAGCTTCCCTAGCTGGGATACAGGCATGCGCCACCATGCCCAGATAATTTTTCTATTTTTAGTAGAGACGGGGTTTCACCATGTTGGCCAAGCTGGTCTCGAACTCCTGACCTCAAGTGATCCACTCGCCTCGGCCTCCTAGACTGCTGGGATTACAGGCATGAGCCATCACGCCCAGCCCTAAAATACTAATAAATATTAGTAAGTATGGCATAATATATACTTGGTCTTTGTCCCCATGTTGCCAGTTCCTGTCATAGAGCCCCTAAAACTGTAATTTCCTGATAGGAATATCTTTTGTTATTTATAATGAGCCCCTTATATAATGAGCTCCATGATGGATACTTAGGGTGGGGTCCCTAAGTAACCTCAGGATGGGGCCAGTCCCTACAAGGGCCAAAATGATTGCAGGACTAGAGAGTTGAAACTTTTAGTCCTACCCACTGACCTAAGGGAAACGGGAGGGAGGTGTAGGCTGGAGATCCTGGGGATCAAGCTCTACAAAGACTTTCTTTTTCCTTTCCTTTTTCTCCCTGGACCCCTCTATCAAGACTCTTCAACAAGATGTAATAAGCTTCTAGTTGCTGAACTGTGCAAGTGCTGGAAGGGTGGTATGCCCAAAGAGGACATGGAAGCTCTGCACCACCCCACCTCATACCTTGCCCTAGCCATCTCTTCAACTGGTGTTCATCCATATGTATCCTTTGTAATATCCTTTAGTTTTTTTTTTTTCCTAATATCCCTTACAATAAACATAAGTGTTTCCCCAAGTTCTGTGAGTTGTCCTAGCAAGTTAATCAAACCCAGGGAAGAGGTCACAGGAACCAGTCTGTAACCAGTCAGTTACAAGTATGAGAGGCCTACACTTTTGACAGGCATCTGAAGTGGGGGCAGTCTTGTAGGACTGAGCCCTTAATTTTTGGGACCTGACATTATCCACAGGCAGGCAGCACTGGAATTAAATTGAATTAGAAGAATTTGCTGCAGAATTAATTGCTTGGTTGGTGTGTAGGGAAACCCTCTCTACCCCTGCCTCTACTCATCTGGTCACAGAAGTGGCACTGTGACTGTGTGACAGTACAGTACATAAGAAAAAAGTTTGTTTTCTTCCTTTTAGTTTAAGAATAACATAAAAGCATCACTTATACAGAAGAAAACAAATAGGCTTAGGAGTCAGAATCTTGGTTCTAATTACAGTCCTAACACTAACTTATTAACTCAGCGTAAGTTACTTAACTCACTGAGCCTGAGTTTCTTCATGTAGAAAATTGAAGTAAAAGCACTTAAATTATAAGTTGGTCATGAGAATTAAATGAGATAAAAGAGACACACTGAGTACCATACTGCTCACATACCATCATAATATTAACAATTACTGTTTTTAATTTTGCCCCTAAAGTTTGAGAGACCTCATGGGTGAATGAAAATCACCTATTTAGCCCTGCTTTGTGACAGTCATTATCAGCTTAAGCAGATATATCTGTTCACTACTGTCCCTTTGCCGAACTCATATAAATAATCTATAGCCTTTACTAAATCCAGCAATATCTCAGGCTGGGCACAGTGGCTCACACCTGAAATTCCAGAAATTTAGGAGGCTAAGGCTGCAGTATTGCTTGAGCCCAAGGGTTCAAGACCAGCCTGGATAACAGAGCAAGACCTTGTCGCTTTAAAAAAATAAATAAAAAAACAGGCTGGGCGTGGTGGCTCACGCCTGTAATCCAACCACTTTGGAGGCCAAGGCAGGTGTATCATGTGAGGTCGGGAGTTCAAGACCAGCCTGACCAACATGGTGAAACCCCATCTTTAAAAAAAAATAAATAAAAAACAACAACGCCAGGTGCGGTGGCTCAAACCTATAATCCCAGCACTTCAGGAGGCCGAGGCAGGCAGATGACCTGAGGTCAGGCATTCAAGACCAGCCTGACCAACATGGAGAAACCCTGTCTCTACTAAATATACAAAATTAGCCAGATATGGTGGCACATATGTGTAATCCCAGCTACCCGGGAGGCTGAGGCAGGAGAATCACTTGAACCCTGGTGGCAGAGGTTGCGGTGAGCCAAGAATATGCCATTGCACTCCTACCTGGGCAACAAGAGCAAAACTCCATCTCAAAAACAACAACAACAAAAACAACAACAACAACAAACAACAAAAACAAGGTTGAAAATTGGGAGCCAGCAAGAAAAAAATAGTAAAAAGCAGTACCTCATAAACATTTTTGTATTGTTTTCAAGTTGTTCTACCTATGTAAATCATCTCACTCTCTGTATTCCATTTCTCCTTATCCTCTCAACTCCTACTCGCACATTAAATAATACAAAAAACTACTGATGGATATATATCTTTCCCAGTTATACTTACTGTCTTATAACCGTGTCCATCCAAGAAGAATTCGCTTCAGGTACTTTTAAACATGCCAAAGCCGAAGCTTTTATGATGAAGTCATTGACAGAAATTTTGCTTCTCCCTTCTAAAATCTGGAAATACAAGAAACAATTGTAGTTTCTTTTTTTAAATTTATTTTTTATTTTTATTTTAAGTTTCAGGGTACATGTGTAGGATGTGCAAGATTATTATATAGGTAAACATGTGCCATGGTGGTTTGCTGCACCTGTCAACCCATCACCTAGATATTAGGCCCCACGTGCATTAGCTATTTTTCCTAATGCTCTTCCTCCCCGGACAATTGTAGTTTCTTAAATTCTCTCACCAAAGAGTAAAACTGTATAATCATAAGAAAAGGATGAGGAGAAAGATAATACACAAATACCCTGAGGTGGAAAAAATGAAATCAAACATCAGTTCTTTCATCTTTTTAAATGCAGACTCCTACAGCTGTTTTCTGCTAAGCACTGCTTTAGCATATCCCATAAGTTATGGTATGTCATCATTTTCATTCATCTCTACAATACCAAAATTTGGTTGTTTGAAAAGATCAACCAAATGACAACCACAATGATAAATGCTTAGTTAGACTGACCAAGAAGAGGAGGGAAGACTCTCCTAAAATTCAGAGTGAAATAGAGGACATTACTATCTACCTTACAGAAGTAAAAAGAATTACAGGGAATACTATGAACAACCATACAGACACAAGCTACCAAAACTGAACCAAGGAGAAATGAAAACTCTGAATAGACTTATAACTAACAAAGAGATTGAAAAGGTAATTGAAAAACTACTCACATAGAAAAAGTTAGGCCCAAATGGCTTCATCAGTATTCTACCAAACATTAAAGAAGAATTAATATCAATTCCTCACAAATTCTTTCAAAGAATAATCAAAGAGCAAGAAAAACTTCCCCACACATTCTATAAGGCTGGTATTAGCCTGATACCAAAACCAAAGACATTAGGGGAAAAAACAAAACAAAACCTACACACTCATCTCTTAAAAATATAGATATAAAATCCTCAACAAAACACTAGCAAATAAAATCCAACAATATATAAAAAGGATCATTCACCATGATCAAATGTGATTTATCCTGGGCTGGGTGTGGTGGCATGCACTTGTAATCCTGGCTACTCGGAAGGCTGAGGCAGAGAATCACTTGAACCTGGGAGGCAGAGGTTGCAGTGAGCCAAGATCTCGCCACTGCACTCTAGCGTGGTGACAAAGTGAGACTCCATCTCAAAAAAAAAAGTGATTTATCCCAAAAATGCAAATTTCCATTAACATCTGAAAATTAATTAATGTAGTAATGTCCTAATACGGTACAGGACAAAAAAACACATAACCATTTCAACAGACAACAGAAAAACCATTTGATAAAATTCAATACCCCTTTTCATGACCAAAACACTCTTACTAACTAGGAACAGGAGGGAACTTCCTCAACCTGATGATAAAACAGATCTAGGGAAACCTCACAACTATTTAATGGTCAAAGACTTATTCTCTCTAAGATCAAGAACAAAATGAGCTGTCCACTCTTGCTAGGCTGCATCTATTCAACATTACTCTACAGGTGCCAGCCAGAGCAATTAGGCAAGAAAGGAAATAAAAGGCATACAGATCAAAATGGAAAAAGTAAAATTATCTCTATTTGCAGATAACATTATCTTGTTTCTAGAAAATCTTAATATACTAAAAAACTGTAAGAACTAATCAATGACTTCAGCAAGTTTGCAGGATCCAAAGTCAATATAGATCCCATTCCACCAGGTATAGGAAAAAAAAAAGATCAACAGAGAAAAATCAATTATCTCTTTTGATTGTTCAGAGTCACAGATCTAATTCCTTTTCTACTCTTCCCCCCTTCTCACTAGTATACCTAACTAGCCTTAAAAAAAAATCAACTATACTTTTATATAGTAGCAATGAACAATCTGAAAATGAAATTTAGAAAACAATTCAACTTAGAGTAGTATCAAAAAGAACAAAATACCTAGGAATAAGTTTAACAAATGCAAATTTAGAGTGCAAAATTTACAGTCTGAAAAACTATTTAAAAAATTGTTGAAAGAGACTGAAGAATATCAAACTAAATACAGGGGCATCCGCATGTTTACGGATGAAAAGACACTTCTTCGTATGGCAACACTTGCCAAATTGATCAGCAGATACAATGCAATCAATCCTTATCAAAATGTCAGCTGGCTTCATTGCAGAAATTTATAAGCTAATTCTAAAATTCATTTAGAATTGCAAGGGACTCAGACAAAACAGTCTTGAGAAAAAAGAACAAAGATGACTCACATTTCTTGATTTTAAAACTATTACAAAGCTAAAGTATTCATGACAGTGATACTGGCATAAGGATATACAGAGATTAATGGAATGGAATTAAGAATCTGGAAATACACTGAGCTCGGTGGCTCATGCCTGTAATCCTAGCACTTTAGGAGGCCAAGGTGGGTGGATCACTTGAGGTCAGGAAACAAGCCTGGCCAACTGGTGAAACCCCATCTCTACTAAAAATACAAAAATTAGCCAGGCATGGTGGCACATGCCTATAATTCCCGCTACTCAGGAGGCTGAGGCATAAGAATTGCTTGAACCTGGGAGGCAGAGATTGCAGTGAGCCAAGCCACACCACTGCATTTCAACCTAGGTGACAGAGTAAGACTCCATCTCAAAGAAAAAAAAAAAAAAAGAATCAGCTGGGCACGGTGGCTCACGCCTGTAATCCCAGCACTTTGGGAGGCTGAGGCGGGTGGATCACGAGGTCAAGAGATCGAGACCATCCTGCTCAACATGGTGAAACCCTGTCCTAACTAAAAATACAAAAAATTAGCTGGGCATGGTGGCGCATGCCTGTAATCCCAGCTACTCAGGAGGCTGAGGCAGGGGAATTGCCTGAACCCAGGAGGCAAAGGTTGTGGTGAGCCGAGATTGTGCCATTGCACTCCAGCCTGGGTAACAAGAATGAAACTCCGTCTCAAAAAAAAAAAGAATCTGGAAATAAAATTCTCGCATATGTGATTAATTTTGACAAGGATACCAAGACAATTTGATGGGGAAAGATGGTGCTGGGATGAAAGAATAAATGTCCATGTGTAAAACAATGAAGTTGGATTCCTATCTCACACCACCTACAAAAAATTAACTCAAAATAGAGCAAAGACCTAAATATAAGAATTAAAACTATAAAACTGTTATGAAGAAACATAGATATAAATCTTCATGACCTTAGACTAGGTAATAGTTTCTTAGATATAATACCAAAAGCACAAAAGAAAAAACAAATTGGACATAACCAATATTTAAAATCTTGTGCTTCACAGGACAAGACCAAGAAAGTAAAAAGACAATTCAAAGAATAGGAAAAATTTTTGTAAATCATATATGTAAGGAATTGTACCTAGAGTATATAAAGAAATCTTAAGTACAATAATAAAAAGATAATCCAATGAAAAAATACACGAAGGACTGGAATAGACATCTCTATATATTTTCTACCATCAACTGGTATATTGTAACAAAATATATGGACAAAAATATAAACGTTTAGTGGAGAAAGACAAAATTTTTCTAACTTAGAAAGTTGGAAATTCCAGACCTTTTACCTTATTAAGTTCTTTCCGTACCAACAAAACTTCTCCCATATTTACATCGATAGAAAGGTAATAATGAGGTATGGTTTGTTTTGATTGCATTAATCGCTGTGCAATAACCTGAAACCAAAGAGATTAAAAAATCAATTATCTTGAGTTAAGACCTTACTTAATTCAGGGCTCTGTTTGTCTCTCACCTTACTCTCTAGTAATACTTACCTCAAGCATTATATATATATATATATTTTTTTTTTTTTTTGAGACAGAGTTTCGCTCTTGTTACCCAGGCTGGAGTGCAATGGCGCGATCTCGGCTCACCGCAACCTCCGCCTCCTGGGTTCAGGCAATTCTCCTGCCTCAGCCTCCTGAATAGCTGGGATTACAGGCACGTGCCACCATGCCCAGCTAATTTTTTTGTATTTTTAGTAGAGACGGGGTTTCACTATGTTGACTGGGATGGTCTCGATCTCTTGACCTCGTGATCCGCCCGCCTTGGCCTCCCAAAGTGCTGGGATTACAGGCTTGAGCCACCGCGCCCGGTCCCTCAAGCATTATTATAATTGAAAGATGGAGGACACCACCATAATGTAACACCTTCTAACAGAATTTTTTTGTCTTTTTGAGAAGGAGTCTCGCTCTGTTGGCCAGGCTGGAGTGCAGTGGCGCAATCTCAGTTTACCACAACCTCCACCTCCCAGGTTCAAGCGATTCTCCTGCCTCAGCCTCCCAAGTAGCTGGGACTACAGGCAGGCACCACCGTGCCCGGCTAATTTTTGTATTTTTAGTAGAGACAGGGTTTCATTATGTTGCCCAGGCTGGTCTCAAACTTCTGACTTTGTGATCCGCCCGCCTCAGCCTCCCAAAGTGCTGGGATTACAGGCATGAGCCACCACACCTGGCCCTTCTAACAGATTTAACTAGAACAAGGTGATCCAAGTATTCAGTTGGCCAAAACTTCCCTTAAAGGTAATCATCTAATATTCCCAACTCAGAAAGCCTCTGTCAATGTGTTAAAACTATGGAAACAACTAAACAATTAGAGTAAAGATGCCCCTAATAGCTCTGATTCCAGATGATGGTAATTCTCTTACTCGACGAATGTTGCTGATTGGGATATCTGTGAAGACACCTGTGGGAACCGGTGCCATTCCAGGACCTGGGGGAGGCACAACAGCTGCTGGAGCCTGTGGGAGGAAAAAATAGCTCTTAGTAACCATGGCTCAATCTTAGCATGAGTACCCGGGAAAGACTGCCAGTGACTTACAGTCTTTTTTTTTTTTTTTTTTGAGACAGAGTCTTGCTCTGTCACCCAGGCTGGAATGCAGTGGCTCCATCATGCTTCACTGCAGCCTCAACCTCCTGACTCAAGCAATCCTCCCACCTCAGTCCTCTGAGTACCTGTGGCTACAGGTGCATGCCACCATGGCTGGCTAATTTATTTGTATGTTTAGTAGAGACAGGAATTAGCCATATTGCCCTGGCTGGTCTCAAACGCCTGGGCTCAAATGATCCACCCACCTGGGCTTCTCAAAGTGCTGGGGTTACAAGCATGAGCCACTATGTGCAGCCTAAAAACTAAGCTTTATACAATAGCTATTTCTGTCCCCAGCAAGCAAAAGAGACTTCTGCTTATTTTAAGAGTTTTTTAAATTTTTTTTACTTAGAATTCTGAAATCATGTTTAAAATGTCATTTTTCTTTGTGTCAGAGTATGTTCAATGACTAGTTTATGTCAAAATAATTTCGGTTTTGCAAAATTATATTCAAGAAGAGCGACTGAAGCATTCTTAAATTGCAAGGAATAATAAATATAAATAAGCGAATCCATTATCCTAAACAATGTTAAAAAAAGGGGGGACCCCCGGTGGGCACAATGCCTCACACCTGTAACCTCACCACTTTGGGAGGCAGAGATGAATGAATCACTTGAGGCCAGGAGTTCATGACCAGCCTGGCCAACACGGTGAAACCCCTTCTCTACTAAACATACCAAAATTAGCCGAGTATAGTGGCGTGCACCTGTAGTGCCAACTACTTGGGAGACTGAGGCATGAGAATCGCCTGAATCCAGGAGGCAGAGGTTGCAATGAGCCAAGATCACACCACTACACTCCAGCATGAGCGACAGAGTAAGACTCTGTCTCAAAAACAAACAAACAAAAAAAAAACCAAACACCAAAAACAACTCATTCAACTGTACTTCAAAATATTTTGAAAAAGAAAAAAAGAACAAATCTTTTATTTCGGAGCAAACATTTGATTAGCTCAAAACATAATGTGGAATATATGTCAACACAGTATACCATCTTTGATCTTGCATATATATGATAGCACACAAACATCTAAATATACAGTTGGCCCTCCATATCCATAAGTTCTCCATCAGTGGATTCAACAAAAGGCAAATCAAAAATATTCAGAAAAAAAAAAAAAAAAAAAAAAAAAAAGGATGGTTGCATCTATAGTGCACAAGTACAGACTTTTTCTTCGTTATTATTCCCTAAGCAATAAGATACAACTATTTACACAGCATTTACCTTGTATTTAATATTATAAGTAACCTAGAGATGATTTAAACTATTTGAGAGGATGTGGGTAAGTTATACACAAATACTACACTATTTTATATACAAGACTTAAGCATTTGTGAATTTTGGTATAGGGGGCTCCTGGAACCAACCCCTCATGGGTACTGAGGAATGACTATATTATTAAGCCACTGAAATTAGAATAAAACAGTCTTGGTTGAGCTATTTCATTCATGAAATAATGTATGAAATGGTCTAACAGGTTGCAGAGACAAATTGCAAAAAAAGTAAGAGCTACATGTAACTCACAGGAGCAGCTTTAGGAGGCACAAAAGAATCAATATCCTTCTTGGTGATTCTACCATCTGGTCCTGTCCCTGTAAAAGAGACATAAATATCACATACATGATGGTGTACCATTGGTTCCCCAAGGAGATCAACACTGTGATCCTAAAGTGCAGGCTCGTAAGGGTTTACTAGCAAAAACATTCTGAAAGGATAACAGCCTTAACCCTAACCCTTAAGGCAGGTGTCCCCAAACTTTTTACACAGGGGGCCAGTTCACTGTCCCTCAAGACCATTGGAGGGCCACCACATACTGTGCTCCTCTCACTGACCACCAATGAAAGAGGTGCCCCTTCCTGAAGTGCGGTGGGGGCCGCATGCGGCCCATGGGCCATACTTTGGGGATGCCTGCCTTAAAGTGCTCCCTGCAAATAGCAGCTTTTGTCAATTATTAATTTAAACAACACAGAGTACCTGTGTGTGATCTGTAGCGGGTCTTTTCTTTTTAACTATTACAAATATTATTTTATGTATTTCTCTTTTAGAATTTTGTCCAAGTTCTATTTTATTTTTTTCATCTTCCTTATTTTTAAATTGGGAAATACTGGCATAAGGATAATGCCGAACACACTTTATATCTCACCAAAAGGAAAACTAGCTGCCTCCTCCTGGTTAGCTCCAAAAATCCATTCCTGAGCCCTGAAATAGATCTCATTTGGGTTCTGGATTTATGTGACCATAAGGAATTCCTTTTGTACAGAATAGACAGGTATAACAACAATTATTTTGACAAATCAAGTCAATTTTTTCACCCCAAAACAGCATAAATAACTCGTAACTGCAATTATCCCATCTTTAGAATCATTCATTCCTTATGTGGTCTCCATGATTCACAGCTTCTTCACAGTAGCCAAAGTTCTAAACTGGCCCATGTTAAAGGAAATGAAGGAAAAAAGGTGGAATATCACACATGAGGAAGGATCTTCAAAGTTCTCTCAGTATATTTAGTTTTACTTATATTCAACTTCCTCCCTCCTACAACCTCTTAGGTTTAATTTTGGTCCCAAGTAGATAATCTTGACCTTTAATTCTAAGGAGATTTAGAATTTAGTTATTATTATATAATACCTTTTACACTGGCCCACTTCTAAGAAAAAATTTGATCAAATTAATTCATCTTCCCCCAAGGCAGACTTTAAAAAGGACTCTTGTTGTGTGCAGTTCTTCCCCATTCCTTTCCTTCATTATAAAAACTGAGCTGGCTAGGATTGTATTTATCCTCAACAGGAGCTCTAGAACAGAGTTGGCAGTACCCCTGTAGATTTCCTTCTTTATAAAAGACAGAAACCATAATCTCCCCTAATAACCGAGGCTGATCTAGACACCACAGCCCCTCAAGAGGAGGAAATCTACAGTACCACCTGTCTTATGCTAAGCTTCAGCCAGCCACAAGAATACAAGAATTCCCTGACTTAGGAGTTAGCTGAAACTGCTTTTTGTTTTGTTTTGTTTTGTTTTTTTGAGACAGAACTTCACTCTAGTTGCCCAGGCTAGAGTGCAATGGGACAATCTCAGCTCACCACAACCTCCACTTCCCAAGTTCAAGCAAATCTCCTTCCTCAGACTCCCAATTACCTGGGATTACAGGTATGTGCCACTATACCTGGCAAATTTTGTATTTTTTTTTTTTTTACTAGAAACAGGACTTCTCCATGTTGGTCTGGCTGATGTTGAACTCCCGACCTCAGGTGATCCACCTGCCTTGGCTTCCCAAAGTGCTGGGATTATAGGCATAAGCCAGGGCGCCCAGCCTAGTTGAAACCTTTTAAACCATTTTTCCTATCTCTCTTAGGCAGCACCACAGGCCATCATAAAGCAATATGGTATAAAAGGAAGAATACTGGACTAAGGGTTAAAAAGCATAGAGATCTTGTCAAAGATAAACCAGACAAATGTTTCATCCATTTCCATAAAGCAACCAAAATGATCTGTTAAAAACACAATCATTTTATTTCACTTCCTTGCTTAAATTTCTCAATGGCTTCCTGCTGTACTTTAAATAACATTCAAACTCTTTTTTTTTTGAGATGGAGTCTGGCTCAGTAGCCCAGGTTGCAGTGTAGTGGCGCGATCTCAGCTCACTGCAACCTCCACCTCCCAAGTAGCTGGGATTATGGGCACGAGCCACCATGACCAGCTGAATCTTTGTATTTTTTAGTAGAGCTGGGGTTTCACCATGTTGGCCAGTGATCCACCGGCCTCGACCTCCCAAAGTGCTAGGATTACAGGCATGAGCCACCACGCCCAACCCTCAAATTCTTTACATAATCTATAAGGTCTTTTATGTTCTCATCCCTGTTTCTTTCCAAATATCGTCTCCTACTAGACTCTTTGCTCATTATGCTTCATTAACACTGGCCTCTTTTACGTTCCTCAGACATGCTAAACTCTTTCCCATTTCACACTGTGTACAGCTAGTCTCTCTGCCCAAAATGGTCTTTCCCTAGTTCTTCACATGGTTGGCTCAAGCTGCCTCCTTCTCATCTTTCAGATCAAATCAAATGTCACCTCATCAAAAAGATCTCCCAATCACCCTGTCTAAAAGTAGTCATGACTGCACATGTATCCATCCACCCTTTCACTCGCTAGTATATCATTGAGTTTCTTTCTTAGCAATTAAATCTTATTTAATAATAAAAATACTATCATTATAATACCTAGATATGCTTTGTCTGTACAGGCACTGTTTAACTTATTTAAACCTTGCAACTGTTAAACCTATTGTTTTTATACACAAAGAAACTGTGACACAAAAGGTCACACAGTTAATATAAGGAAGAGCTGAGGTTCATACCCAAGCATTCCAACTACAGAGCTCACACTCTTAACTATGCTGTATTTCCTTTCTGTTCATTTAATCCTTTCGTTGGTCACATAAGCAACTAAAACTGAAATCTTATCCATCTGATGAGTAAGTGTCTGATTTGTAGATAGTACTCGATGAATATTTGTTTAAATAATAAATGAATCACCTAAAATCACCTAACTGCCCGTATAGTAGGAAAAGTGGGATTTTCTTCTTTCTTTTTTTTCTCTTAACACTCCTGTCAGCTCATACCCAAAGGACTTTCCACTTATATCTTTAGTAAGGTAACCAGTATTCCTAAATATCTAATAAATGGTCCTTCTTTGCTTGTCTAAACTCTTCACATATAATTATTAACCCAGTCCTTCCTCCCTTTAAGTTATTCCAACTTGCAAATATGTAGGGCATACTTGGGGGGAAAAAAAGGAAAAAAGAATTAGAAAAAATAAAAAGTTATTCCAACTTACACTGCTGTCCCTGATTCTCATCATATATACATAAATAGCAATATACTTTCATAGCAACATACTGAAATAGCATGATGGAAAAAAAAGTCTTCCAATATTACAAGAATCTATGAGGTTCAAAAAATTTGCAACACTCTATTATTGTGTCTTGGGATTAGCTTGCTTTCTAACTACAAAACAGGAAATTGCAGATAAGGGATAACCGCCACTGAGTACCCATAACTTGACAATTGGGGAAATAAGCATATTTTTCTTTAGTAATTAGAGATGGCAAAGCATCAAAATAGAAGGCAGCATAGGGTAGTGTGAAGAAAACAGGCTTCGAAGTTAAACAAATCTAGAGTCAAACACTGCAACTTTACTATTTAACAGGAAGGAAGAACCCTGAAGAGTCTGAGTCTGTTTTCTCATCCAAAATATAGGGAATAATAATTCTTACTTTAAGAGGTGTTATGTACATTAAGTATGGCAAGTTAAATGACTGGCACATAGCACTAGCCATCAAACCAAATTCCAAGAATAGCAACTTTCCCCCTTTTCCAAATAAGTATCTTAGTTATCCCACACTGAATTTTAGCTTAAGTTTAATTTAACAACACTTATTTAAGTGCCAGGTAATCATTTCAATATGAATGACAACTGACATGTATTGAGTACTTATATGCTAGATACAGTTCTAAGCACTTCACCTGCTATAGCTCATTTAACTCTCACAATCTATACAATGTACAGTACCTCAGTTTTACAGATAGAAAAGTAATTGACACAAGGACATACAATTTAAGTACTTCACTGGAAAACATATTACATAGAAAATTATTACATAATTATCACATTTAAAAAAATACTACATAGAAAAAAAGCCAGGATTAAACACTAAGTGGTCTAATTCCAGGCCCGGTGCTCTTATCACAAAGCTATGCTTTTTCTTTGGGCAGAGACAGATAAGGAAAGTGTTTTCCCTTGCCTTCAGGGAGCTCTAGTTCTGTTTTACATGAAGTTTACTATTTTAAGTTATTCCAAGTAACCCCAATTTCAAGTTTTGTTTTGCTTTGCTCATTGCTAGTCAACCTAGCACTAATAGAGGTTTCTTCTTACTACACAATCAAGTCCCATAACCCAATTTGCTGAACAAGTACATATACTTTCACCAAACAATTAAGCAGTTTCTATGCATAGAAGAGAAAAAAAAAAGGTATCTAAAGTGTATGGGTAAATTTTCAGCAGACTAAATAAAGCACAGAAAAAGCTTCCCTACTCTGTAGCGGCAACGAAAGAAATATTTCTCCTTTCAGATATAATTATTAACAATTATCCCTACTATCCCAGTTAAAAGTACGGCTACATATAGTTGTATTTGCAAGTCTTAAGGAGGAAATTCAACTAAATTTTAACTTTACAATTCCATTCCATAGAAACAGATTTACCTTTTACTTGTGTAAGATCAATCCCTTTCTCTACTGCCAACTTCTTTGCAAGAGGGCTAACAAACACCCTTCCCTTTGGTCCAGCAGGAGTAGCTGGGCAGGGTGCTGAAGGTGTAGGAGCTAAAGGCTGGGGAGTTGGAGGAACAGTGGCCACCTTTTGAAAAAAAATTACGAACGGTTTTTATTCACCACTTCAAAGACTGGTCTGAAAGATTAAAAGTTTACATCTTATTAATTAATTACAACTGTTTTAATTAAATATTAATAAATTTATCTTTTTTCCAAAGATCATAATGTACTTTTCTCCTGCCTAACCAACATAATGTAGTAATATGAACAGCAAGAACAATATACTTCTATGTCAAAGATGGAACAAAGTTACCTTACTCCAGTAACAACATGAAGAAACATAGAATTAAAACTGCCAATCAGTGTATAGTATTCTACGGCCTTTCTTCACTGTAATCTCTTACCAGTTCTTTCTCATTCTTTTAGATCACCAACATGATTTTTGTTTTGAATTAACCTAATTTCCTTCTTTTTTTTTTTTTTTTTTTTGAGAGGGAATCTCTGTCGCCCAGGCTGGAGTACAGTGGTGTAATCTCGACTCACTATAACCTCCGCCTCCAGGTTCAAGCAGTTCTCCTGCGTCAGCCTCTTGAGTAGCTGGGATTACAGGCATGCACACAACCACACCCAGCTAATTTTTTGTATTTTTAGTAGAGTCCAGGTTTCACCATGTTGACCAGGCTGGTCTTGAACTCCTGACCTCAAGTGATCTACCCAACTTGGCCGGCCAAAGTGCTAGGATTACAGGTGTGAGCCACCACTCCCAACCAGCTAATTACAAATTATAAAATTATGCTAGAAGATCCCATGTTGAAAAGTATCTTCAGAAATACAGCATCAATGCTACTTGCCAGCTTCCCATGAATGTACAGTAGGCAGAAATCAAGTTTTCTCTGGTAGAAATGTTTACCTAGTTTAAACTCACATTACTCTAGCATCTGCGGAAGCTTCATTGTCATTGTTATCTATAGTTGGAGTTAACACAAGTTCATGTTATATAGTGTATAAAGTATTTGGTAATATAATAAATTCTTTATTTTTTTATTTTTTTCTAAATATTTTGTCCTCATATATTTTATTTATTTATTTATTTATTTATTTTTGAGATGGAGTTTTGCTCTTGTTACCGAGGCTGGAGTGCAATGGCGCAATCTTGGCTCACCGCAACCTCCGCTTCCTGGGTTCAGGCAATTCTCCTGCCTCAGCCTCCTGAGTAGCTGGGATTACAGGCACGCGCCACCATGCCCAGCTAATTTTTTGTATTTTTAGTAGAGACGGGGTTTCACCATGTTGACCAGGATGGTCTCGATCTCTTGACCTCGTGATCCACCTGCCTCGGCCTCCCAAAGTGCTGGGATTACAGGCGTGAGCCACCGTGCCCGGCCATTTATTTTTTAATATAAAAAATTATATGCAAAACAAGTCATATCAAGGTTCCACTGTATCACAAACATATGCTTGACCTACTACATCAATACCAAGAAAATTAAAGTGACAGAGATTATTCAGTACATTTGATTTTAAAAATGGGCAATGAAGTGAGTTATGATTGCACCACTGTACTCCAGCCTGGGCCACAGGGTGAGACCTTGCCTATCAAAAAAAGAAAAGGGTGGGGCAATGAAGCCCTACTTTCCACAAGCATGATATCTATGTCTAAAGCAGAAAGAAAACATGCCATTCAGCTTTGTTCTCAGCAGGACTCTAGAAAACAGGGGAAAAAAAAGCTAGCAAGGCCCAAACTATCGACCATTAGATGAACGACACAGTATAATACAAATGTTAATAAATGATCTCCCTACTCAATCATAGAATCTTGGAGCTGCAAGGAACCCAGTATATCATCTAACCAAAACTCCTTAATTTAGAGATGAACAAGGTAAGTGTTTCCTGAATTCTAGAAGCATACCTACCAGGGGTGGGGTAGGTGGTGGTGCTTGTGGTTTTAAATCTGTTACTTCAGTTGGCCTATAGTCGGCAAATGCGGATATATCTGCCTCTTTTTCTACAATGATACAGAGTGGGGTTCCCAGAGGAACATCTCTTGTGCCTTCAGGGACCAGGATTTTTGCCAGATAACCTTCTTCCTGTACTTCAAAACCTTAAATAGAAAGAAAAAACATTATGGAACTTAGGGGAATCCACTATCCCTCGAAATTCACAGCACAGTTTTAAGTAAAATGATTTTTCTCATTCAAGCTAGCTATACAACCTTTTTTACAACCTATTTAACCTTCTGTGTCTTGATTTCTTTACCTACAATATGGCAATAATAATGGCTCCAACCTCACAGGGATGTTATACATTTAAATGGATTAATGTTTTTCAAGTTCTTAGAAATAATATCTGGTACAAAATAGCACCTGGTACAAAGTAAATTCCAAATAAATATCTGTTCAATAAAACTATGAAAGATTACAGACAGTGGTTAGTTCTAAAAGTTATTTAAAAATCTCCAAGGCCAGGCGCAGTGGCTCACGCCTGTAATCCCAGCACTTTGGGAGGCCAAGGCGGGTGGATCACGAGGTCAAGAGATCAAGACCATCCTGGTCAACATGGTGAAACCCGTCTCTACTAAAAATACAGAAAATAGGCTGGGCATGGTGGCATGTGCCTATAATCCCAGCTACTCAGGAGGCTGAGGCAGGAGAATTGCCTGAACCCAGGAGGCGGAGGTTGTGGTGAGCCAAGATTGCGCCATTGCACTCCAGCCTGGGTAACAAGAGTGAAACTCCGTCTCAAAAAAAAAAAAAAGAAAAAAAAACTCCAAGGTCAGCTTCATAGGACTCTATGATGATGGTGTCAGCTGTAATGCTAAAGCTAAGAACTACATACATGCCAAATTAAGGAAGCTACCAAGCTAGATATGGCTTTCTAGTACTGTTGTGCCTCTCCTTGATGAACACATCTTGGATAAATCCTTCCATTTCCCTACCAGGAATACAGTATAAAAAATACATTTAGGCCGGGAGCAGTGGCTCATGCCTATAATCCCAGCACTTTGGGAGGCCGACAAGGACAGATCACCTGAGGTCCGGAGTTCAAGACCAATCTGGCCAACATGGCGAAAACCCATCTCTACTAAAAATGCAAAAAATTAGCTGGGCGTGGTGGCACACACCTGTAATCCCATCTACTCGGGAGGTTGAGACATGAGAATTTTTTGAACCTAGGAGGCAGAGGTTGCAGTGAGCCAAGATCCCACCACTGCACTCCAGCCTGGGTGACAGAGCAAAACTCTGTCTCAAAAAAATAAATAAATAAATGCAAAGAGAAGAAATTCATAATACCTATAAATATCTATTAAAAAATCATAAATACATGATTGTCTATATCAGTTTTATTTTTTAGCCTAAAAATGAGTTAAGAAGGAGACATATGGACATATGACATATCTGAACATACATATATTACATACATACATTCTATCAGTCATTCTCAAACTATGAAAACAACCTCAACTGTGGTTTCAGTTTCCCTCAAAGACATCTTAAATTCTTTACTATTATCCTGCCATGGAAATGATTTTCTGTTTCTTCTTTCCTTCCTTTGCTCAGTTTAGATAGCAGCAGTTCTGATACAGCTTCTCAGTAACATAATAAGGACAAGAAGCAAACTTGGGCCTAAAAATAATCTGTAAATTGACAATGATTGATTGCCTTTGATTCAGTGAGTACAGGATGGAACTGACAAATCTGACTATGCATATTTTTGTTATAAATTATCCTGGGTCAGGCACAGTGGCTCATGCTTGGAGTCCCAGCACTTTGGGAGGCCAAGCTGGGAGGATCGCTTGAGCCAGTTCAAAACCAGCCTGGGCAACAAAGTCAGACACCATCTCTAACAAAAAAATTTTTAAATCAACCAGTGTGTGGTGGTTCAGGCCTGTAGTCCTAGCTACTTGGGAGGCTAAAGCAGGAGGATCGTTTGGGTATGAGCCCAGGAGGTGGAGGCTACAGTGAGCTATGATCTTGCCACTGCACTCCAGCCTGGGCAACAGAATAAGACCCTGCCTCAGAAAGCAAATAAACAAACAAATAAATAAAAACTTAAGGATAGATGTAACTAAATAAAAACAAAACATTCTAACCCAGAAAATGAACCCTAAGAATTATAAAGTTTTCATGTTATCACTCACTCATTATAGGAAAGAATGGCAATCCTCTTCCTCATTGGGAAACTCAGTGCCTCAACCACTAAGAGCTGAAGAAATCTCACCTATAGTGGCTTTGTCAGTCTCTATCTCTGCCAATAAGTCTCCTTCACTTAGCTTCTCACCCACTTTTTTTTCCCATCTCTGAACTGTGCCCATGGTCATGGTGGGAGAGAGGGCAGGAAGAAGTACCTGTAGAAACAAACACGTATTATTGCTTAATACTAAGAAGACTTGTACACAATAACAGTCAGGCAGGCTTACATAGGTTCACAGAATAATGGTGACTGTGATAATCCAAATACTCATCACAGCAAAAGTTTAGCACCTCAATAGCTTCCCAGCAAGAGTTCGAGACTAGCCTGGCAAACATGGCGAAACCCCATCTCTACTAAAAATACAAAATTAGCTAGGTGTGGTGGTGTGCACCTGTATTCCCAGCGACTTGGGAGGCTGAGGCAGGAGAATCCCTTGAACCCAGGAGGCAGAGGTTACAGTGAGCTGAAATCGCGCCACTACACGCTCCAGCCTAGGGCGATGGAGTAAGAGCCCGTCTCAAAAATTTTTTTTAAATGAGGAAAAAAAGCCGTTTTTATAATAGTCATTTCCCACCTCAATAAAATTCAAACATCAGAATGCCTATCTAAATTTAAAATTGCTTTACTATTTATATGGCTTGCGTGTCCACTGAATTTGGTTATTTAGTTATTACGAATTTCATTTGCTATCCTGTTTGCCTTTTGTATCCGATTAGCAACAGCATTATGCTGAGAGGAAAATAATTTCAATTGAAGAAGTTTCCAGGGAGGGGGAAAAAAAGATAAGCTTCAGAAAAAAAAATTTTAAGTGCTTTTTTGTTCAGAATTTGCCATCTTGATCTGCTTCTTAACAAACAGTGAAGTCAATGATTTCTACATAATATCTTAAAGGATAATTAAGGTAAAGCCCTAATACATGCACACAAAGCTACGGACATAAAATAAAGAAATTAAGTCAGTCTTATATCATGAGACAGAATTTGATGAACAGCATGTAATACATGTGTGAACTAAATACCAGGCAAAAATCCTAAGTTATTGTTACTAACATACCGCAGAGTAGAACATTATTTCCAAAGAAGTGATTTCTATACAAAAATTTCTACAAATAAACTAGATTATGGAAAAATTCTAGTGAGAATCATTTAGAAAAGGATGGCTGGATTGCCACTTAATTTTTGTCAGTTTTCTCATTTATTAATACTATTGTACTACTTCACTCACTCTTGGAAAACAGATCACCACATGTCAAAAGAACACCCCCCCAAAAAAGAAATATAATCCCCAATGTTAGAGATGGGGTCTGGTGGGAGATTTCGGTGTACTGGAGGGGTATCCTTCATGAATGGCTTGGTGCATGCCTCACAGTAATAAGTGAAGGGGAAATCTGATTGTTATAAAGAGCCTGGTACCCACTCCCCTCTGTCTGTTGCTCCCGCTCTCATTATGTGACACACCAGCTTCCCCTTCCCCCATGATTGTAAGCTTCCTGAGGCCACAAGAGAAACAGATGCTGGTGCCATGCTTCTTGTACAGCCTGCAGAACCATAAGCCAAATAAAATTTTTTTCTTCTTTTTTTTAATTTTAAAAACGGGGTTTCACCATGTTGGTCAAGCTGGTCTTGAACTCCCGACCTCAGGTGATCCGCCCACCTTGGCCTCCAAAGTGCTTGGATTACAGGCGTGAGCCACCATGCCCGGACACTTTTTTTCTTTATAAATTACCCAGCCCCAGATATTTATGCCAACGTAAAACAGACTAACACAGCCTACTATAAACTCTAATTACACAGGGAGTAGATATGAGTAAAAATCATCCTCAAAATCTATACCACAGTGTTCTTGAATGAAAAGTGCCACGCACTACTCTGTGTACTACCCTGAGGCTGAGAAAGCTTACAGGAACTGTTCAAGTTCTTATACCTGGAAATAACAACCAGGAAGAAAAGCTGTCAATTTTCATGTTTAAATCTCTGTATACTCCCAAATGACAAGCATTAACCACATTTAATGTCAGTTTCCAAGATGTAGTAGCTATCTACAAAAAAAAGTGAGTAAATAATAAATCATCTACAGCAATCACTCAGAAGCTGAGCCTCACCTGCATGTGAGCGGGATATGAGCTACCAGGAGCCTGAGCAGAAGGTGTAGGTGGTGAAGGAGTGGCAGCAGGGGTTGGCGCTGCGGCTGCTTGTGGGGTAGCTGCTGCTGAGGAATCCAATGTATAATTTTTAAAGGCCTCAATATCCTCAGGCCTAAGTAAGAGAAAGAATACATAAATATAATAAACAGGCAGATTCAGCCCTCACAAAAATAGTCTTAAAAAAAGAAAGTCTTTAACTCCTAATTCTTAATTCTGGGTTAAAATACTCCACCAAGCAATGAAGTTCCACAAATTATGAGGGTAGTACTCACTTGCCAACTGTGATACAGATGATCGCTCCAATGGGAACATCCCTGGTACCTTCAGCAACAAGTATCTTTGCCATATAACACTCCTCCAGGCTCTCAAATCCAACAGTGGCTTTATCAGTTTCAACCTTTAAACACAAAAAGCAGCAGATTAGGTTTGTACTGTTGCTATGTAGTTTATTAGCTTGTGTCTAGAATTTTTCTTTTTTAGACAGAGTCTCACTCTGTCATCCAGGCTGGAGTGCAGTGATGCAATCTCAGCTCACTGCAACCTCCCCACCCGGCTCCCTGGTTCAAGCCATTCTCCTGCCTCAGCCTCCGGAGGAGTAGCTGGGATTACAGGCACAGGCCACCAGGCCCGGCTATATTTTGAATTTTTAGCAGAGATGGGAGTTTCACCATGTTGGTCAGCCTTTGTATCTAGAATTAAACAGTTCATGTGAGGATAAGGCCACTAGGACAGATTTAAAAGAAGGAATTATTTTAGAAACACCTTGGCTAAACATTAGTTTGGCCAGCTGCTGATAACTCATCCAACCAATCTTGTCTAACATAAAGCTGTGAAAAACACTTAAGTTTCTTAAGCAAAGGGGTAACTACACATCCAGAAAGTCAATGTTCAGTCAATTCAGCAAAGCCAGTCTCTTCAAACTCACCTCCTTTATTTTAAAACTACTTACCTCTGCAATTAGGTCGCCTTCATTGATTTTGTCCCCCTCTTTTTTTTCCCAACGGGCTATGGTGCCTGCCTGCATTGTGGGGGAAAGAGAAGGCAACGGAACCTGGAAGAAAAAAAGAAGAAACATTAAATTTTTAAAGGGCTGCCTAACTCTCAGTCTGGCTTAACATTTCATTTAATTCAATTTCATGCAACGAGTTTATCCTAGCGTACACACTAGGAACTAGGGATACAAAGCGATTTGCTGCCCACGATAAGTTAATACTTTCCAATGACAGGCTTTCTCCTCCACAGTCCTGTGGGTCTGACAAGGCATGAACCCCGGCAGATATTTTGCATACAGCCCCAGTCTTGAAGTTCTCCTTTTAATGGAATAGATCATGAGAGGGAAGCTAAGGAGCTACAGCAAAGCTGACTATTGGACAAAGGGCGAAAGCAGACACTGGGAATGGTTGGAGGATCAATGAGGCCTCTCAAGGAGGATCCTGCAGGCATCCAGTCGGCTCTGAAGGACGGGTCGTCCCGAGAAGGACCGGTCGAGGGCTCACCTTCTGATGCGGGGGAAGACTGTAACAGCGGCGGCCGGGCGACCCCAAAAGCTGCAGCAGGAAGCGGTTCCGCGGCGTGGCCCCCGAGCTGGGGGTCCAGCCACACAGTGTACGGACCCCGCCATACCCTGTGGTCACGCTGCTGCGACGAGCCGGAGCCGGGCCAGATCGCGAGGTCACTCGTGGAGATCCAGGTCCCTCCCGCAAGGCCGTCCACCGAGCCCCGAGTCCCGTCCGTGGGGCTACATTCTGGGCGGGTCGCGCACAGACGCGCCACATAGTGCCACCAACCCCCCACACCCCAAAACCAACGCCGTCTCCGAAGTGACCTCTCCAGGAGCGGCACGGCGTTGCCGTCAGCCACGCCGCACAGCCGCACGGTGTCGTAAAATGGGCCCCGCAGGTTTATTCCAACCCCTCCCCAGGCCAGAAATGCGCCGCACCCACGCCCTTCCTCTCTGGAGTGGGGACAAGAGGCACTCCCGGCGCAGGGGCGTTGCAGCAGGGCCTGTGCGGGCGCAAGTTTGGGAGAAATAACAGACAGAAAGGGGTGGAAAGTGGTGGGGTCCTAGGTGAGGCATCCGGCGGGGTCCAAGAGACGGGAAGGGTACAACCGAGAGGGAGGGGTCTAAAAAGTGGCAAAGACGCGGGCTACTCGCGGACGAGCGACCAGAGAGTCTGGGCCGAGGGGCGTGGCGCAGCTTTGAGGAAAAGCTGGAAGTGAGCGGGGAACTCCCTGGGCAGGGGGAGCCTCAGGCCAAAGGGCGGGGTCTTGGAGCCCGGGGGTGGTGAAGGATTGAGGAACCGCCTGCGGGGGAATGGAGGGGTGCAACGTGGTGACCTCTACTTCCGCGCATCGGAATGAGGACGGACTGGGCCCCACCGGGCGCAGGCCGTTCTGGGTTACAAAGATTCCGTCTCAGGTTTGTACCCAACCAGAAAGTGGAATGAACAGGTGTTCCAGCCAGGTGGTACCAAAGGCAGCCCAGAAAAGATATAGATTCCCGCAGTCGTGTATACTGTAGCAAGATTAAGCATATTCCCCGTATGAAAATATAGGTTACAAAACATGTTTCTGTTACCCCTAATACCATAGAATTCTATTAAGTAACCAAAAGCGTTATGTTTCATATGTTTCCTACCAAAACTTAACTGTAAGTCCTTGAGGGCAGGAAGTGTGTCTGGGTGGTTCTTCCATGTAGCCACAGAGCTTAGTATACAGTAATTAGCAGTGGCTGAATGTTTATCTTTTGAATTAATGAACAGAAAGTCATCAAGACTTTTTTTTAGGTTTGCTTCTCTTGTAAGATTATCTTTTAATTAGAGAACATATCAATTGGCCGGGCGTAGAGGCTCACGCCTGTAATCCTAGCACTTTGGGAGGCCCAGGTGGGGGGAATCACCTGAGGTCAGGAGTTCAAGACCACCCTGGCCATCATGGTGAAACCCCCATCTTAAAAAAAAAAAAAAAGAAGAAGAAAAGAAAACATATCAATTAAGGTGACATTAGATAAGGAGGAAGCATGTGCTGTGTTTATATCACCACCTCCCCAGTGTACACACCTCCCCAGTGTTAGACAACACCAAGAACACAAGAAGAAATTGGAGGGAAAAACATTAAAACAAGATGTTAGCCAGGAGCGATGGTGCGTGCCTGTAGTTCCCAGCAATACTTGAGAGGCTGAGGTCGGGGAATCACTTGAGCCCAAGAGTTTGAGACCAGCCTGGGCAACATAGACTCTGTCTCTTAAAAAAAAAAAAAAAAAAAAAAAAAAAAAATGGCGGGGGGGGTGGTTAATCTTGCTAACAATTAATTTGGAAAAGTAAAAACAGATTAGATATACTATTTTATGCCTACTTAAATTGGAAATGTTTAAGCAGGTACAACTGCTTAATAGAATGATATGTAGGCAGTATAATTGAGAAATATAAAATTTCCAGATTAAATGAAAAGGCATATTTGAAATAATATGAAGAGGAGGGCAATTATATTGTTACAATTATGTACAGCTTATGAATTAACAATTGGAAGAAGCAATGGAAGAATAATTGTAATTAGTAAAAGGACCTATAAATTATTATTATTATTATTATTTTGGAGACAGAATCTGACTCTGTCACCCAGGCTTCCGGGTTCCTGTCTCAGCCTCCTGAGTAGCTGGGATTACAAGCACGCACCACTGCTGGGTACCAGCCACAACCCCGTACATAGGTGCCCTTAGTCCTGGCAGTAGCGAGGGATTGAGATAAGGAAATAAAGACAGAGACACAAGAGTAGAATTTACAGCATGGGTCCAGGGGACCAACGCAAGTGTGGGAACTTCCCTGGCCCCGAGCTCTGGGCTCCAAACACTTTTATTTTGTGCTTAATCTCATTGAAGTTATGGGCATGGAAGGGGAGGGTGAAGGAGTAGGTAAGATGGGGCGGGGGAGCACTTGCACTTGAGATCCTTCTAAGGCATACTAAACTAGTGCTCTAAGCTTTAAAAGCACTTGAGATCCTTCTAAAACATGCTAAATTAGTACTCTGAGTTTATCACTGATTGTTATCAGGGTGCTGCTGCATCAGAAATATAGCGGAGGAGGAGCCACCCAGTCTGACCACTCCCAAGGAATCAACCAGCTTTTATCTCCTGAGCATTGAAGACTTAGAACAATTAAAATCACTCCGTAATCGGAGAACCTAGGCAGAGCCTGAGGTGTTCCCGGATCTCTGCCCTGCAAGGCTTTTCTCCTCCTTGCCAGTTCGCATCTGCAAAGACCCTCTCAGATCTTGTGAGCAGAGGTCGCCTCTCTTCTCAGAGATCTTTGCACAAGCCCTTTTTAGGAGACCCTCGTGCAGTCTCCATGCTGAGAAGGCATTCGTGGGACCACAGCAGTATTCCCTGCCCTGCATCCACCCCTCGGTGTTCCCCGGTGTTACTGCGCTCCCCGATGGTCTTTACCTTAGGTCTCCTGTGGGTGCTTGATTTCTAATTAACGGCACCAATAATATAGTTTAGTTCGAATATAAACTTCAGTGCACTGTGAGCCAATCAAGCTTATAATTATTTAGCTAGAATTAACAAAGGTCTTCCCCTGGCCATCTTGACCCACACACCACCATGCCCAGCTAATTTTGTATTTTTAGTAGAGATGGGGGTTTCACCATGTTAGCCAGGCTGATCTCGAACTCCCGACCTCAGGTGATCCACCCACCTGGGCCTCCCAAAGTGCTAGGATTACAGGCGTGAGCCACCGTGCCTGGCCAGGACTTATAAATTATTGGGTTTTTTTTTTCTTTCCCCTCTTAATGGCTTTATTTTAACAGCAAGGACTTACAAATTATTATAAATATGTTTTTGAATTGGCTAAACTATGTTGCTGCTTCTGCTGTATTTGAATAACTGGACCTATTTGGTATGAAGTAGGAGGTGATCTGTATGATCTGCTGTGCACTTAGGTATGCTTGCTTAAACCTCTTTGCATTTTTCAAAGAACAGTGAGTTTGTATCCTGAATATACTTTTGACTTAAGAGTAGCTAAATTATAGGAATGTATAGCTCAAACAGTCCAGAGATGACAAGTTTACCACAAAGGTAGGTTAAGAATGCTTAGGTTTGTCAAATCAGTCCTGAGAGAACCAGCTTGGATTCCACCAAACAGATTGGATAAAGGAAATTATGGAAAAGGAGACTCAAGACTCGAAGGTTTGAAGCAGAGAGACTTAAGAGAATGGTGGTATCACTGATATTGAGAGAAAAAGAAATTAGTTGGTAGTGAAAGATTTTGAGTTATGTACATATTTAATTTTAACATAATGGGATAGCCAATTAATAGTTGAAAATCTGTAATTGGAAGTCAAATGAAGGCACTCAGATAAAGAATTCAGTATAGCAAACATTTAAGTTGAAGTGATAAGAGGCATTTAAGAGGCAGCTTTCAAATGATTTGGGAATTCTGGTTGTTTTAAATACACATTTCTGAAAGAGTTCTTAATGCTTGCAAAGCATACGTAACTTTTGTCATTGAGTTTATACTCTTGGGTTCTTATTTGCAAGTTCACATGTAATTTCAAAAGAAGTGCTAAATAAATTGTCCTTGATAATTATCCTTGATATATAGAAATACTAATTGTAAAATATCTATAGCAATAAAGTAATCCTTATCTCCACTCTCCACATAATAAGTAAACCATGCTACCAGGGAGATCACTTGAGGAAATTTGCTTTCACTAAATACAAATGGCTTTATTGATTAATCTCATCAATAAACACAAGTGAAAATCATTAATGATATTTAGTTTGCAAACTCCATTTTATTCATAGTTTGTGTTTTTTTTAAATTAGTTCACAAATCTGGTACATACCGGCAGTTAAAACTGGTTATCGCTTTGATAATCAGAAGCCTGTGGCATAACATAGTCTCCATGAAAACATATTGTAAAACAGGGAGAATACACAGTAATAATCTCTTTGAAAGCAATGGTTGCAAACATCCATGTTTCTAAGAAAATATAATTTTACATATATATGTATTTTAAGCAAGCTATGCCTCTTAACATAAATTCAGACAGTAGAAGGAGTGTGCAATCATAATGCTTATTTTATGAAAACAGTGAAAATAATTAGGACCTAAATGCTTTTTAGTAATTAGAGTCCTCTTGGATTGGATGTAGAGTATAAAGATATTTTCCCTAATTTGCAACTATACTGGTCAAAAAGAGCTGAAAAGTTGGTAAGTAGAATTGCCATTACCAAGTAAGTTTAAAACAAATTCTTCAAATTTAAAAATGTAAACATTTTGAAGTGTTCCAGTCCCCCCAGCTAATTTAGGGAACTGAGCAGTCTTCAGTTTTTAAATGATTTTTTTTTTTTTTTTTTTTGGAGATGGGGTCCTGCTCTGTCACCTGGGCTGGAGTGCAGTGGCATAATCAGCTCACTGCAACCTCAAACTCCTGGGCTCAAGCAGTCTTCCCACCTTGACCTCCTGAGTAGCTGGGACTACAGGTGTGCACAACCATGCCCAGCTACTTTTATAATAAAATTTCTTTGTAGAGACGGAGTCTTGCTATGTTGCCCAGGCTGGTCTTGAACTCCTAGGCTCAAGCAGTCCTCCTGTCTCGGCCTCCCAAAGTGCTGGGATTTCAGGCATGAGCCACCATACCCAGCCTTAAATGAAGATTTTGTAAACTAAACTTATTTTTGTGAGATGGTCATTTTGTTTTAACCTAACATGGTTTAGAGATTATTTTATGAACTCTAAGCTTTCTGGTTCCTCAGTTTTCTCAAAGAAAGAGAACTTTAAGCAAGTAGCAGGACTAAATACCCCACACCAATGCCACCAGGGGACAATACCATGAACAAGTCAGGAGGCCTCCTAGAATGCAGCCAAGTAAGAAACTGTTCCCAACAAAATCAGTCTTGCATACTTCTGCTCAGAAGGCTCCTCTCACTTTGGAAACTGGAATGAGGACCACCAACATATTGTACACAGGAGTTATGAGAGGTACATCCTCTAGCAGAGATGCTTGGTCATTACCTGTGGTACGTGAGATTACTGAGCTAAAGGGAAAAAAAAACGATC